ATGTATATTCAATGTAACCATCATAATACAAGTACAGGAAGACAGGAAGATATATACACCTATACAAATGGAATATAATTCCAAGAGTCCTAATATCACACAACTTGAAAGCCTCATCCAATCCACCTTTCTTGAATGCTTGGAAAGCGTTTAACTTATCATTGCCAAAGCATCCATACAAGAAGGCATGGCGGAATTCTTCTAGACTGATTCTGGCTAGGTACTATATAATATTTCTTGATGCTCTCGCTAAACTTGTTGCCCAACAGACTAAAAATGTTGGGAACAAAAACACTATGAAATTATGGAATTTCCGACCACCTGAAAATGATCATAAATCAAGTCAAAAGTCTTGTTCCGATCACTTTTAGTATCCGGAAAAACCGTTGTTGCTATTTCCGACCACTTTTTGTTTTCGACTTGATTTAAGATCACTTTCAGGTGGTCGGGAATTCAATAATTTTCAGCAGTGAAAGTAGATGAAATCATTATTTTTTTGTCCTAAATTTACAGGTGGCGTTTGGCTTTTAATTTTTTTTTTTAGAACATATATGTTACGTTGGTCTTAGTATTATTGTAACATGACTATTTTTTGTCCTCCGTCAACAAATCTATTTAAATGACATTTAAGTCTATTCAGTTCTAAGTGTTAATTCCTATTTTGGTCTTATATTTATATGTGTCATTCTATTTTTGTGGAGATGTGGATTGCAATTGAGGAAGATAGGATCAGAGACTCTACCCGTGAATTAAGGATTTTTTTTAAAAAAATAAAAATAAAAATATAATCATTCAACCTACTTTGTATAAAAAGACCAACATACCCTTATATTTAACGTTATTTAAATAAGTTTGTTGACGGAGGACAGAAAATAGTCATGCCACAATAATATTAGACTAACAGGGGATGTTCTGAAAAACATTTCAAAAGTAAAATGACACATATAAATCTATGACTAAAATTGAAATTAACTAAAAATTAGATATATAGCAACAAGCCAAGGATCTTGTAGTCTACTGGCACCAAGTTGCTCTCCTATGTGGGAGGTTGTGGGTTTGAGCCTTGGCTCTTTGTGCTTTTGAGAAAGTGGTTACGAACACATACTACATTGTAATAGAATAAAGATAGTGGATTACGAAATTTGCAGCTTTAGTATAGTTAGGGACGAAAAGTGAGCACGAAAACGTAATAAAAGGACAAATTTTATGGACGAAAAACGAGCATGATCAATACTTAAGGACGAATTCTACATACTTTATGAATTTTTGACGAAAAGTGTAATTTTCTTTTTTATTATTGATGTGACGACCAGTTATATTGGTCTGCCGACTGACTATCGGGTAGTCATAAAACCAACAAATATGAAACCCAATACAAATCCAACAAGGATAGTGACAATCAATTAGACGATCCCAGCTAACACTATACACGCACACCCTTTGAAGTTTCGTTACGTCGTGCTCCACTGTCTTTGTTTGACCGATCGTCATCGTCCTGCGAGGTATATGATGTCAAAACTCTCTCCATCATTGCACTCTTTGCACTTTTTCTCCATTTAAGTTTGGACAGAATAGAAATGACTACCCTAAATAAGATCAAGAAAAATGGCTCTTGTCGACATTAAATCGACTTTCATATATATATATATATATATATATATATATATATATATATATCTTTTAACTACTCCGGACTCTATTACAATATAATATTTATCTATATAATATTATAAATTTTTAAAATTTATAATGTTTTTGAATTTCTCTCTCTTTTTTCCCTTATTTTACATGTCACAAAAAGTGTTATCAGTTTTTGGTGTCTTGGTCTGATCATCATTCAATTAAGGCATATGATGTCAGAATTGATATGATCCGCCAGAAATATAGTTCTTCAACCGTTCTTGTATTCTATTTGTATCCATTCCAAGCCTCGGTGAAAATGCCTATTCAGCAAAAAAAAAAAAAAAAAAAAACAATTAACGTTGTCAACAGCATACACATAATCGAGAAATAACTAAGGATAAGGAAGGTTAGCTATGAGCAATCTAGGCTGATTTACTTTCTTGTGATCTTTTACGCGTTAGAGTTATAAGACAAGATTTACGAGATCAGACTAATACATAGGAGTCATTAGTCAATAAATAATCCACGACGTGCTAAATGAACTAGATGTGTTAGGATGAAACACTTATCACTAGCCTAAAAGTTATATATTTCGAATTCATGACCTGACTCTGATCTCATACCATTCTTTTATTTTCTTATACTGCCACATATTCAAGAGATAAATTAAAGTGCTGAACTTGATCCTTCAAGCCTCAACTCAACAATCCCCTATTCATCTGGTATTGGACTTGGCCCTTGGCTGGCCTCCGGCTAACAAGATGCTAACACAAATGGTAGCTATGGTTTGTACTAACTTTGGAATGAAACTAATGGCCTTACAGGCTAAGTTAAGCCAACTTTTCAAAAATATTTTCTAAGATTTTGTCATTGACCGAGAAGTGACGCGTACTTCTCTGTTCGAAGAAGTGCCAGAGCATAGCGATTGATTGTAAAAATAATAATTTTATTTTCAAAAGGCATAGTGACCAAGAAGTGAAGAGTACATTTTGGGTGTCTAAACTGATAAAAATAGTAATGTTATTTTCAATGGTAAAAATAATATTTAATATGATACATAGTGATTGATTTTCTATTGAAGTTTTTGTGTGTGTGTGTGTGTGAACATAAAAAGTATATGAGTATTATATTTTTGAAATTTACAGAACTTATTGTAAAACTTGATAGGATTAGAGGAAAAGTTTGTATGTTTAGACAGAAGGAACAAATTTGTATAGAAAGTTTAAAATTTTGAGGTTTGATTGTGGATTTTTACTATTTATATTTGTAAAAAAAAAAAGTATAGAAACTCTAATTTGATAGTCTTACAGAAATGGAAATAAACAAAAATGAAATAAATAAACGAGTTTTTCTCAAAATGATCCCTCGACTATTCCCAAAATGGTCCCTTGACTATTTTTCAGAGTATATTAGGCATATAATAGGTAAATGGATGAAAATGCCCTTCATTTTAACACTCAATAGACAGAATTGCTAACGGAGGACCAATTTGAGGGAGTTTTTAAAAGTCAAGGGACCACATTAGGTGCAATTAAAAGTCGAAATGTAAAATTGAGAATGAGCAATAGTCGAGGGACCATTTTGGGAAAAAACTCATAATTTTATTACAATTTCTTAGAATTTATAAGTTTAGTTCAATTATAATTCTATGTTTCATGGTTTGCATTGGCAAAACATGTATTTAATTACTTCCCAAAATTTAGCAACTTTATTAATTGAGCCACGGAACTTACTCGGTTTTCGGACTAACTGTAGCAAGTTACGTGATTTGATATAACTCTATTCCAAGAATAAAATGTACCTTTTTGAGCCAATTTCTAAATTGGTTTTGGAAAGTATATTTTATTATTTTAGAATGTCTAACTATGGTGGGGAGTCATGTCCTCATTAGTTATTCCTTTAGTTGGACTATAATTGGAATCATATATTGATTATTTAGTATGCCCAACTAATGGTGGGGAATTATATCTTCATTAATTAGTTGGTCAAATCATTTTTTTTAAGCGAAGTAACTTTTATTAGATCAGATGGTAAATAATGTGAATTGGTCAAATCATTTATGAGTACGTATATCATTAATTTTGCTAAAGAATATCTTAATCAGTGGGAGTGATCATTTAAAAAAAGGATCATTAAGATACTCCATAATCAGTGGGAGTGATCATTTAGAAAAAGATCATTAAGATACTCCATTAAAGATTTGAGATTTAATAGGCTTCATACATCCTAAATTGGATTGTATGTTAAACAATAAGTCCAAAAGATTCCACAAGTATTAATATCGTATTTGTTCATATAAATTCATATTGGTTGTGCAACATATTTATGAAAATGTTGTAACAATATTAAAGAGTTTATTAGAACAAAACATTTAACTTGTGGTGCAATGTTAAGTAATAAATTCTTCAACATTTAATAGTCTTTAGTTTCTTCAAAATTGATTCTGGGTCATTTTGGTTTGTAAGGCTCAAGACAATTTTGAGAAACATAAAAGTAAGACTCATAATGTTCAGTTCATTTTGAGGTGGACCTTAAGATTATTTGGGAAGTTATGGTGTATGTTTAAGAGTCCAAATTTATAGACTTAGAGTTTTGGTTTATTGTGTAAGTTATTGGAATGCTTCTGTGACTTAACTATCTTTTGGCTATTTTGATGAGTGGGAGTGACAGACGTGTCAACTCCAAGCTCTTAGCCGTTAGAGGTAGTGCTTATGTTAACTTATAAAGAAGTCATAGAATATAGTTAGCATTATGCTAACATTAAGAGATGTCTACTTAAGGCATGCTTTTAAGGATCTTAGAGATCATACAGTGTACTCTTTTGTACAATTTGGATGGTTTTCTCTCTTAAGTTGCGCATATATATTTTATTTTGAGAAACATCCCTTAAGGTACCAAGAATAAACATTGGGTTTGTTCATAAAGGATTCAAGTTGGGGAATCAAAAATGCATGTGATCATAGGAGATATTACTCACTTATTCAGTAGAGGACATATTACTATGGTTCGTGTGTTTTGTTCTTTGATGAGAGTTTAATTTGCTAGTACTTGCACCAAGTGGGAAACTGTAAGACTTTCACGTATAATATATATTATATATTATGGGTCTTACTTACGTGGTGCAAGTGGACTAGGCCCATTAAGTAATTACATGATTTATTATGGTACTCATGCTGCTCAGAAAATACCAGTACACCATCTAGGGTTCTGAGTCAAGTATGAGACAAAACGGCTAACCCTATTCTGCAGATCTACTGTTCAAAGGCAATACAACAGGATATCAACCATGGCTGGAGATCTACAGTGCTTCCGCTTCTGCTACTACGAGTTAAGTTTCTCGTGAATTATTCTGTATATAGTCAGATCATATTTAGATCTCACAAGGAGGACACAGAACGAGCAACCGAAGCAGGAGTTGCTAATGGCTTACAGTCAGTCATGTCCGCCCGTTTGAGAATATCACCCATATACCTGCCTGAGAAAGGACAAGGTCTCCATCTACAGGCAGTGTCTCAATTCCAAGAAAGAACCTTACTCAACCAAGATCCCTAATCATAAAAACAGAAGAAAGACACTGAAACAGATTACTTATCAACTTGGAATCACTACCCATCCATCATAATAATTTCATCTACGTATACAAGTAAGAAAACCCTCGAGTCACCAGCAGAATAATCGAAACGTGAGACATTAGTTTTCGAAGAGCAAAAACCAGCAGAGATTAAAAAATCATGCAGATGTTTGAACCACACACGGAGTGCCTATTTCAAACCATACTGAAGAAGATAAACATGATCAGGGTGTCTGTTTCATCCTATTGAACCCAAGCCGCAAACGCAAGATTAACCGTAGCAGAAGCAGCATCGCTTGAGGAAGCATCCACACCGAGAGTCGCCGGATCGGAGGACACAGCAAAGAGCCATCAATGTAGCCAAGGAGATTCTAACCTCAGAGGAAAGGGACAAGCTTGGTACGCCAAAAAAATATAGTTACGGGTTGTACGCTTCATGGAGACAAAATGGTGGGCTAAAGACAAGAGATTAGGAGTAACTTGAGAAGAGGATACGGGAACTACAGACACGGTACGTTCATAAGACGCAGTATCGTAAGCAGCAGGATCAATGAAAGCCATTGGAGAAGAGAATAGAAACCTAACAAGAATTAATATGTATATTCAATGTAACAATCATAATACAAGTACAGGAAGATATATACACCTATACAAATGGAATATAATTCCAAGAGTCCTAATATCACACAACTTGAAAGCCTCATCCAATCCACCTTTAATTTCTTGAATGCTTGGAAAGCGTTTAACTTATCATTGCCAAAGCATCCATACAAGAAGGCATGGCGGAATTCTTCTAGACTGATTCTGGCTAGGTACAATATAATATTTCTTGATGCTCTTGCTAAACTTGTTGCCCAACAGACTAAAAATGTTGGGAACAAAAACACTAGGAAATTATGGAATTTACGACCGCCTGAAAATGATCATAAATCAAGTCAAAAGTCTTGTTCCGATCACTTTTAGTATCCGGAAAAACCTTTGTTGCTATTTCCGACCACTTTTTGTTTTCGACTTGATTTAAGATCACTTTCAGGTGGTCGGGAATTCAATAATTTTCAACAGTGAAAGTAGATGAAATCATTATTTTTTTTTGGTCCTAAATTTACAGGTGACGTTTGGCTTTTAATTTTTTTTTTAGAACATATATGTTACGTTGGTCTTAGTATTATTGTAACATGACTATTTTTTGTCCTCCGTCAACAAATCTATTTAAATGACATTTAAGTCTATTTAGTTCTAAGTGTTAATTCCTATTTTGGTCTTATATTTATATGTGTCATTCTATTGTTGCGGAGATGTGGATTGCAATTGAAGAAGATAGGATCGGAGACCCTACCCGTGAATTAAGGATTTTTTTCAAAAAAAAAAAATAAAAAATATAGCCATTCAACCTACTTTGTATAAAAAGACCAACATACCCTTATATTTAACGTCATTTAAATAAGTTCGTTGACGGAGGACAAAAAATAGTCATGCCACAATAATATTGGACTAACAGGGGATGTTCTGAAAAACATTTGTGTTTGAGCCTTGGCTCTTTGTGTTTTTGAGAAAGTGGTTACAAACATATACTACATTGTTATAGAATAAAGATAGTGGATTACGAAATTTGCAACTTTAGTATAATTTAGGGACGAAAAGTGAGCACAAAAACTTAATAAAATGACAAAATTTAAGGACGAAAAACGAGCATGATCATCACTTAAAGACGAATTCTACAAACTTATGAACTTTTGACGAAACGTGCAATTTTCTCTTTTATTATTGATGTGACAACCAGTTATATTGGTCTGCCGACTGACTATCGGGTAGTAATAAAACCAACAAATATGAAACCCAATACAAATCCAACAAGAATAGTCACAATCAATTAGACGATCTCAGCTAACACTATACACGCCACCCTCTGAAGTTTCGTTACGTCGTGCTCCACTGTCTTTGTTTGACCGATCGTCATCGTCCTGCGAGGTATATGATGTCAAAACTCTCTCCATCATTGCACTCTTTGCACTTTTTCTCCATTTAAGTTTGGACAGAATAGAAATGACTACCCTAAATAAGATCAAGAAAAATGGCTCTTGTCGACATTAAATCGACTTTCATTATATATATATTTACTACTCCGGACTCTATTACAATATAATATCTGTTTGTAATAAATATTATAAATTTTAAAAATTTGTAATGTTTATGAAATTCTCTCTTTTTTCCCTTATTTTACATGTCACAAAAAGTCTTATGAGTTTTTGGTGTCTTGGTCTGATCATCATTCAATGAAGGCATATGAGGTGAGAATTGATATGATCCGCCAGAAATATAGTTCTTCAACCGTTCTTGTATTCTATTTGTATCCATTCCAAGCCTCGGTGAAAATGCCTATTCAGCAAAAGAAAAAAAAAAAAAAACAATTAACGTTGTCAACAGCATATATACACATAATCGAGAAATAACTAAAGATAAGGAAACTATGAGCAACCTAGACTGATTTATTTTCTTTGTGATCTTTTACGCGTTAGAGTTATAAGACAAGATTTACGAGATCAGACTAATACATAGGAGTCATTAATTAGTCAATAAATAATCCACGACGTGCTAAATGAACTAGATGTGTTAGGATGAAACACTTATCACTAGGCTAAAAGTTATATATTTTGAATCCATGACCTGACTTTGATCTCATACCACTTTTTTATTTTCTTATACTGCCACATTTTCAAGAGATAAATTAAAGTGCTGAACTTGATCCTTCAAGCCTCAACTCAACAATCCCCTATTCATCTGGTATTGGACTTGACCCTTGGCTGGCCTCCGGCTAACAAGATGCTAACACAAAGCAGATTAAACGCATGGCTGTTTATATTATATTATACCTTGCAAAGAATTGTATGGTAGATGTTGAGAGCCACAGTGGAGTTGGTTGCACTCACAACTTCTGCGCCTTCCTCTTGAACAATCCCAAACACTTTATCCATCTTCAACTTCTTGTTCTCCCACCCACTAGCTATATTTATCTCCAAACTTTCACCTCTCTCATTGTCATTCACGGCTAATACCACCACTGATGCTTGTAGACTGTCCTTTCTTGCTTTCAGCTCTTCAACGCTTTTCTCTAGTTTTTTTATGTAGTTCGTGGCGTGATTCAACAAGTCGAAAGCCGGACATTTTTCCTGTACATCAACAACAAAGAAAGCCTTAATCAGCCTCAGTTTTCAATTACCAGACCAAGCCCACAAAAGGCGAAATTCTCTTGCCTAAATCAGAGTGATTCAGCAGCTCATTAGCTAAGAGGACCAATGCCTGGTCGAACCGATCACATGTGCAAGGAGTAGTACTGGAATAAGTCATGTAACTACTTTAGCTAAGGAATTAGTCTTGTAAGTAGTTTAAGTAATAAGAACACACTTCCCTTTCCACTAATTCCTCATCACATTGGCATGGGTGTAACTTCTATAATGTGATTTCCAAAACTCAATTTTGTGTCACTGTCCACAATCTACCACACACGAACCAATTGAAGTATTCGTGTGAGTCTTTTCTACTCTATATATGACAGAAAGGCCGATTTAAACTCTAAACCTAAGGGCCCCTCACCTTTGCATTAGGGATTGTGAGATGTATCTTAGCGACAAAGAGCCTTGAGTGATTGCTTTTTGCTCTAAGACTGAGATCGTCTTCTCCCATTGAGAATTCGAACTCGAGTCGTTGTTGGGTACGTCATTACACCCATATTCAATCATTCGAGTTATTTTCCTGTAATTATAAATGACAGACATGAATGGATGAAAGGATGAGAGTGCGTGATAATAGCATACCAGAGAGTTTTCACGAGAGACAAGAGAGGCGAGTCGACGATAAAGGACTTTCATTTGCTGCCGCCGATTCTTTTCCGTCGTCGAATTCCGGCCTCTTGGTCTCATCGGCAAACTGCTGTTGGGCTGCATGTTTTAGCCTAACAACCCACGCTTTTTTTTTTTTTTTTTTTTTTAATGTATTATCAAATTGGTCTGGAGCATACATGCATTACATGCCTGTACATGTGAATATATAGGCACAATTCGCTATCATCGTACAAGACAACACAACAATGGGCTGGCATGGTCTGGCCAGGTTTTCGTTTCCGAGATTTAATATAAGGAAAAATTCTACTTTTCCTTTTTAAGTTATACAATAATTGTAAAATTCGTTTAAGTGTTGGTCATTTTAACTTTTCTTCTCTAAGTTATCATTGGTGCACTTAAAAATAAGGACGAAATTTGCAACTTTAGTATAACTCAAGGACGAAAAGTGAGTACGAAAAGTTAATAAAGACAAAAAGTGCAACATCAATGATAACTTAGGGGCAAAAAGTGGACAGATCAACACTTAGAGGCGCGCGAATTTTACAATTACTCTATAACTTAGGGACCAAAAATGCAATTTTTCCCTTAATATAATCATCAGTCATATGACAATTACATGTGCAAAATGTCGTTCTAATAAAGTAATAATCCAGCATGTACAAGCTTAGCTCACTAGTTCAGTAGACAGTATTTGGGAGAAGAGATCAAGATTTGAACCTCGATAGCGGCAGTGTCGGAATTATGCCCAGAGTGGACAGATCCCTTGTGTGCACTGATATTTGATTCTTTCTATTGAGCCATTAAGTCACCGTGATTTATATCTTGTCAAATGCTCTGTCGGGCAGGGGTTGGGGATTCACTTTTTGGGAGGAGGATGGAAAGAAATAATCCAAAGTTAACACACAATAGTAACATTTATTAAGAGTTAATAATGATTCGCACGTCATATACTCTTGGTCTAGGATTCCAATTTCCAGTCGCCGTTCAATTTCAATTCCTTGTTGACTAATGGATAGACCATTCATTAATTGATTAATTCCTTAGTCTCTGTCGCTGCATTTACTCTATTTCTTTGATTCACACCACCATCTAGGTTGATATGATAATGCAGGTTAGATCCACATGAGCTCGCATATGCTTTGCCCACAAAACCCAATCCAAGAACAATTTATGGGCTATTGTGATGGCAAGCACAACAAGGTCCTGTATATAAGTTGTGCACTTGTGCTAGCCCACCCTCCAAGTAATGTGGCAGGGTCCACCTAGGCTCAGATTAATTTATGTTTATTTATTTATTTATTTATTTATTATTTAGCAGGACTTGTTAGTTAAAAATGTACCTTTTTCAAAAACAAAATTTACATGTAAGGTAAAATTGATCGCAAAATCTTTTATAAAGAGTCTTACACTTATACAGATAAATTACAAGAATTTTATATATTAGTTTAAATTTATTTGCAATAACTTGTATTAATTTGAATTTTCAAAATGTGTAAATTTCTAATTTAGAGAGTATATAAAGTATAAATTTCAACTTTGTAAATGAGCTTAATATTTATGGTCCATTTGGTTCACGGAATAGGCCTGGAATGACATAACATTTCCAGTAATATACATATTTTTTTGTTTGGCAAACGTTTATATTACCAAGAATAGTATTCCTGGTAATAGCCTATTACCTCATAGTTATTACTAGGGCCCCTGGTATATAACTTATTCCTGAGTCCTCAAGAATAGATGTTTTTTTTTATTCTTTTTTTTTACCCTTTTCTTAACTTATCGTAATTATTCATATGTTTAATATATATATATATATATATATATATATATATATATATATATATATATATAGGCGAGTTCAGGTGCGGCGGTGTCTTACGGTGCGGCGATTTCTTACGGTACAGCAACACCAATAGTTCAACAAATATGCACCATCAACGTTAGGAAAATACACCACAAAAAAACAGAGTAAACAGAGCCCTGCATCACCAAACACTCACCATTAGGTGTGAGTAAAAACACCATACACTGTTCAGAAATACACCATTGGGGGTGGTGAGTTATATGGTGTATTTTTTTGAGTCTGTTGTGTATTCTGTGATGTTTTATTGCATTTCATTGTGGTGTGTTTTTCTAACACTGTTGGTGCATATTGTTAACACTGTTGGTGTATTCTGGAATTCCGCCGCACGGGAAGACCCCGCCGCATTTGAACTTTATTATATATATATATATATATATATATGTGTGTGTGTGTGTGTGTGTGTGTGTGTGTGTACTGCGGCGGCGGCGGTTCGGCGGCGGCTTGGAGGATTAGCGAGGCGATTGCCATGATCAGTTTGAGGATCGGCCAGTAATTACGATTTTCGGAGGTTTGTCGCGATTCTCAATTGCGGAGGACTCTCCAGCGATGGAGATGGTGTTGGAACGATCGGAAGGTGACAACGGAGAGGGGAGGGTTCCGCCCAGCTACGACGGTAGGTGTGACAGCGGCCACCGTGTGAAACGACGGGAAGAGGCTTAGCGAGGTCGATGTCAATCACCACACCGGTCAGAGCTCAAGTCGCCAGCCACCGTGTGCGATTGCTGGTGCGTCCTCGCTCGCGATGGCCGGAGGCAGTCTCGCCACCGCCTTGCGTTCAGCGAAAGGGATGATCTATGGGATTTGTTGGCGAGCAGCGTGAGACCTTGCCTCAATAAGGGTAGTTATGTCTTTTACACATATATTACATTTATATTCCTTACACCAACCAAACACTGGAATAACATTCCTAAAGTCTATTCTTTCAACGAACCAAACAATAGAATACAATTTCTATTCTATTCCTTACCTATTTCATTCCCTATGGAATAATATTCCTATTCCCTCAAAATTCATTCCGCGAACCAAACATGCCATTAAATAAATACGTAATAAATTTAAAATTTTATAATTATAATTATAATTCAAAATTTAAAATTTAAAATTACTATATATATATATATATATATATATATATATATATATATATATATATATATATATATATATATATATATATATATATATATATATATATATATATATATCAATCCATTCACCAAGAACCTTGTGCTCACATGACATGCAGTGACCTTTCCCATGTGGGAGGTCATGAGATTGAGCTTCAGTGGAGAAAGTATGTTTGAACAAATATTACAATGTAATAGATGTAATAGAGTCATAAGTGTTTCCTTGAGATTTCCTAATTTATCATTAATTATATGATTATCCGTTAAATATTATCTTTTTCGATAATTTTTGTTAGTTCACTGATAACTTACTAATTGATTTCAATAAGAAATGTCTTAGGTTCGAACCCCATCCCAATCAAAGTTGGCATAATTAGTACTCTATTTTACTCTTATTAAATTAAATAATAATTTAGTAGCTACAAAAAAAATAATAAATATGCATTTCTATAATTTAGAATTATGTGTCTACAATGTCTTTATTCAAAAAAAATTTTATTCATTATCAATAAATTTCAATAGTTATATCATATTATTTTTCTCCAATATAAAAATTCTTTACATTCAAATTCATCAATTGATTATATTCGCTACATTGTCCCTACAATGTCTTTATTCAAAAAAATTATTCATTATCAATAAATTAATTAAGAGAAATAATTTTATTAGTTATATTGTCTTTATTTTTCACCAATGTAAAAAATATTATTTACATTCAAATTCATCAATTGATTATATTCACTACATTGTGTATTATCTTTTTTTTGTGCACTATTTTTTAATTAAATATCAAAGTTATAATACAAAATAATGTTATATATTTATTTACCAAGTATTTTATTAATACCATGAAAAGATTTAAAAAATATAATTAAGCCAATCATATTAACTACTTGAGGAATTTGTTGACAAAGAAAGTATTCAAATCACACAACAAATTGAAGTAGGAAACTATCTCACAATGTCCTTGTTTGACAATCAGTAGTTAGCGGATTATATTAGCGGATTTGACCATTGAATTATATTAGCGATTGGTAAAAAGATATTTGAAAAAATTAACGATTTAAATTAACATGTAAAATGACCTAAGAATATAATAATAATAATTATTATTATAATAATAATAATAATAATAATAATAATAATAATAATAATAATTATTATTATTATTATTATTATTATTATTATTATTTAATAAAAGAAATAAAAAAATTTTAAAAAATAAACATATGGGAAGTCAAACGTTTGGCTCCTTTTAGTTTTGCCACTTTTCCCATATTGGTGGGAAAAGTAACATGGGAGCTTCAATATTAGTATATATTTAATATATTTTATGTCCTAATTTTTATTTGTTCTCCCTTATGTCTTCTATTTGGTTTCAACCATACCTATACAATTATTTTATTGACAATTATAATCAATCTTGACTATATTATCTTGCATTTGTAAACTTAGAATTACCTATTTAAATACACAAATTCAACATTCAATTATTTATGCATGAACAATTCCAATATAATTTTGTCTTGATATACTTTAAAGTGCTTATTTTAAAAAAAATATTGGGCATTATCTCAATCGCGCCGTAAAAAAACTAGTATACATATACATGTTCATTGTGAGAAAAAAAAAAGTTGCTTATGTCAATTTTCAGGATATTATCAAGGGAACATTGCAAGTTTGGTCCCTGAGTTATAATGGTAGTGACGACTCAATACCTGAGTTATGACCGTATCCATTTTTAGTCCTTCAGTTATGAGCGAAGTGGCGCATTTGGTCCCCGGCCGTAAAAACTGACAGAAAAATTAAAAAATATTTAAAATTTTAGGGGTAAAGTAGGAAATTCACATTTTATTCACTTTCTTATATTGAAACCACTTTTGCAATATTATTTTTAATTTTCTAGCATTCTATTTCAAGGTTCTTCAATTCCAAAAGCAATTCAATAATCTTCGTATGACTTGTAAGTAACCTGAGTCTCGTATAAGGAACTTGTGACTCAGTACAAACAAGAGAACAGTTTATCATTGTCTTCAAGCATGAAAAGCACACCATCCTAAAAGTTTCTGATTTCCCTTACTAAACATAACGGTAATCAAACTATAACTTTT